TCGAAAAAACATTCACGTCGCTGCGCCACCTCGCACACAACGCAGGCCCTCACGTCCTCCCTCGCAGCTGCGTTGCGCTGTGCAGCGACGCAGCGCTTGCACTTGCGGTGCCGAGCGGCCACGCTTTCCCACATCCTAGTCGAAAAGCATTCACGTCGCTGCGCCACCTCGCACACAACGCAGGCCCTCACGTCCCCCCTCGCAGCTGCGTTGCGCTGTGCAGCCCCAGCGTTGACGCAGCGCTTGCAGTTGCGGTCACGATCGGCCGCTCCTTCCCACATAAATCGCGAGAAGAACTCACGGAAACACATATACGTAACTCCTCCTCCTCCCTCTTCCTCCCTCCTCCTCCCTCCAATCACCTCCAGGATGGCCGTCCGACTTATCGGAAACACGTATACGGAAAAACAAAACGCGGTCAACCAAACGCACTAAGCAACTGAGCCTCCCTGAATTTATCTGGGGTCGGCGGCAGAGGCGGCAGCCTTAGATAATCCACGTCCGGAAGTGACGTGTTGCCGGAGGCAGGTCCGCGGATGCTGTAACGCAATGGATCCAATGCGTCCAATGCTTGCATAATTCCTACATGTTGTATTGTATTACATTATTATGTCTCCCCCCCTAACCCCCCCCTGGAGTCGCGCCACTTCCATCGACCCTCAGGAGGAGGGCCCCTTCTGGGCCTCAAAATCTAGAAAAACCAATGGAAAACCGATGATTTGGGCACCTTGAGCCTTTTGGGGATCCAAGAGGGCCCCAAGACTGCTCCAGATGGCCCCGAGACGGCCCAAGACGGCCCTAAGACGGCCCGAGATGGCCCCAAGAGGGCCCAAAAAGAACCCAAGACGGCCCAAGAGGGCTCCAAGAGCGCCCACAAGAGCGCCTCCAGAGGCCAAAAACATAGATTTTCCTTACGTTTTTGAAAGATTTTAGCTTTCTCGCCTTTTTCGCCTCTCCGAAGCCCATGACGGCCCGAGCAGCCTCCAAGATGGCCCCAAGAAGGCCCAAGAAACACCCAAGGGGGCCCCAAGACGGCCCCAGAGGGCCACAAGACGGCCCAAAGAGGCCCCCAAGACGGCCCAAGAAACCCCTGAGACGGCCCAAGAGGACCCCAAGAGGGCCCCAAGGCGGCCGCAGAGGCCCCCAAGAAGTCCTCCGAACGGGCCAAACGGCGCGAAAGCGCCCCAAGACGGCCCAAGACGCCCCCAAGAGGCCCCAAGAGGCCACCAAGAGGCCCCCAAATGGCCCCAAAAAGCTCCCCAGAGACCTCCGAAACCTCCGAAAAGTCCCCAAGAAGCATCCAAAAGGCCCCAAAGAAGCCCCCCAAAGGCCACATAGCGACTGGAGTGTGATATTATTTCCCCCCCTGGACGAACTGCGGCGCAGCGCCAGCCAGGTGGAAGTTGGTCACGGCGGCGCCCATGATTAGAGCCAGCGCTGGAAGGGAAGATGGGGAGGGAGTCAAAAAAGGGGGGGAAGAGGCCAGAAGAAGTCCCCAAGAGGCCCAAAGAAGCTCCCAAGAGGCCTCCAGGAGGCCCCCAAGAGGCTCCCAGAAGGCCCCGCGACGTGACTGTACGTGCTCCGGACGTGCACCCCGCGAAGCGAGAGGAATCATCATCATCATCATTATCAGCAGCAGCCGCATCATCATCATCATCATCATCGTTATCAGCATCATCATCATCAGCAGCATCAGCATCATAGTCATCATCCTCTTCGTCATTATCATGAACATAAGCAGCATCGTCATCATCATCATCATCAGCATCAGCAGCATCAACAGCATCGGCATCATCGTCATCATCATCATCATCATCATCAGCATCATCATCATCATCATCATCATCATCATCATCATCATCATCATCATCATCATCATCATCATCATCATCATCATCATCATCATCATCGGCAGCGGCATCATCATCAGCATCGCCATCAGCATCGTCATCATCGTCATCAACATCATCATCAGCATCATGATCCTCGTCATCGTCAGCATCAGCGTCATCATCATCGCAACAATCACCGTCACCAACACCATAACACTAATCATCATCATCAGAATCAGCATCATCAGCATCATCATCATCAAGCAGTAGCAGCATCAGCATCATGATCGTCATCAGCATCATGGGCATAGTCATCATCGTCATCGTCATCAGCATCAGCAGCATCAGCATCATCGTTATCATCATCGGCAGCAGCATCATCACCAGCATCAGGATCGTCAGCAGCATCATCATCGTCATCGTGATCAGCATCATCGCCATCAGCATCATGATCCTCGTCATCGTCAGCATCAGCATCATCATCATCAGCACCATCACCAACACCAACACCAGAATCATAATCATCAGCATCATCATCATCATCAGCATCATCATCAGCGGCATCAGCATCAGCATCATCATCATCAGCATCATCATCATCGTCATCGTCATCATTATGGGCATAACCATCGTCGCCAGCATCATCGGCATCATCATCATCGACAGCAGCATCACCATCAGAATCATCATCAGCATCATCATCAGCATCATCGGCATCAGCATCATCATCATCAGAATCATGATCCTCGTCATCGTCAGCATCAGCATCATCATCACAACCATGACCATCACCAACGCCATAATCAGCTTCATCATCATAATCAGCATCAGCATCAGCATCACAATCCTCGTCATCAGCACCATCATCAGCATTAGCAGCACCAGCATCATGATGCTCATCATCAGCATCGTCATCATCATGGACAGAATCATCATCGTCATCATCATCAGCATCAGCAGCATCAGCAGCATCGTCATCATCATTATCATCATCGGCAGCAGCATGATCATCAGCGGCATCATCATCTTCATCATCAGCATCATCGTCATCGTCATCAGAATTATCATCAGCATTATGATCATTGTCATCATCGTCAGCATCATCATCCTCATCATCCACCATCACCGTCAACAACACCATAATCAGAATCAACCTCCTCAAAATAAGCATCATCATCATCCTCATCATCATTAGCATCATCAGCAGCACCAGCATAAGCATCATCATTAACATCATCGCCATCAGCATGGACATAATCATCACCGTCATCATCATCCCCGGCAGCATCAGCAGCATCAGCAGCATCAGCATCATCGTCATCATCATCGGCAAGAGCATCATCATCAGCATCATCACCAGCATTATCGTCATCGTCAGCATCGGCATCGTCATCATCACCACCATCACCGTCACCAACACCATAATCGTAATCATCAGCATCATCATAATGAGCATCATCATCATCATCATCAGCATCATCATCATTATCATCGTCATCCTCATCCTCATCCTCATCCGCAGCATTATCATCATCAGCATCGTCATCATCATGGGCATAGTCACCATCGTCATCATCATCAGCATCAGCAGCATCAGCATCATCGTCATCATCATCAACATCGTCGGCAGCAGCATCATCAGCATCAGCATCAGCATCATCATCAGCATCATCGTCATCGTCATCGTCATGAGCATCATCATCAGCATCATGATCATCGTCATCGTCAGCATCATTATCAGCATCATCATCATCATCATCATCATCATCATCATCATCATCATCATCATTATCACCACCATAACCAACACCAAAATCATAATCAGCATCGTCATCAATATCATCCTCATCAGCATCATCAGTACCATCAGCATCATCAGCATCAGCATCATGATGATCATCATCATTCTCATCATCATGGACGTAATCATCATCGTCATCATTATCATCAGCATCAGCAGCATCAGCATCAGCAGCATCAGCAGCATCAGCATTATCATCAGAATCATCATCATCAACATCATCGGAATCGTCATCGGCATCATCATCATCAGCATCATGATCCTCGTCATCGTCAGCATCAGCATCATCATCACCAACGCAACAATCAGAATCAGCATCATCATCGTCAGCATCAGCATCATGATGATCATCATCCTTATCATCATCATGGACGTAATCAGCATCATCATCATCGTCATCAGCATCGGCAGCATCATCATCAGCAGCATCAGCATCATCGGCAGCAGCATCATCATCATCCGCATCATCCTCATCAACAGCATCGTCATCGTCATCAGCATCATCATCAGCATCATGATCCTCGTCATCGTCAGCATCAGCATCATCATCACCACCATGACAATCACCAACACCATAATCATAAGCAGCATCATCAACATCAGCATCATCATCAGCATCATCATCAGCAGCATCAGCATTACCACCATCGTCATCAGCATCATCAGCATCTGCATCATCATCATCATCACCATCACCATCACCATCACCATCACCACCATCACCACCATCATCATCATCATCATCATCATCATCGGCAGCAGCATCATCATCATCATCATCATCATCATCATCATCATCATCATCATCATCATCATCATCATCCGCCCCGTCCTGAGAGGCAGCCAGCGAAACCACATCGCGCTGCCCCGCGCGTCGCCGCAGGACGCCCTGCCCCGACCGCCTCACCCCAGAGAGAGAGCGAGCAAGCATCACCGAGTTAGTCACCATCGGCGGCGCTCCCAGGGGGAGATGGCAGAGAGGGCGGGCCTTCGCAAAGGCTTAAAAAGCCTCGGGCTTTCTGAGAAGCTTTCTCCAAAGATACGGACGGTTTCTCAGACGGTCTGGGAGTTTCTGAGAAGCCCCCGCCGCCTTCTGAGAAGGCCTGCCTCCTCTCACTTCTGCCACTCGGCACGCCGCCGACAGTTACCAAGACGTGCGCAAGAGAGACAACGACAACAACGTCGGTGGCAAAGGCAGCGAGACCGCGGACGGATGCGTAGACGCGGTCACGGCTGAAGGATGAAACAAGGACCCCAGTCGAGAACATGCCTGCAATTGGGTTTGGCTGGCACGATATTGACTGCACACGCATCCGCATTCATCGGGTGATGCGCACCGTCTTGAACGCCGCTGCGTCGTGTCGTCAGCGCGCCGCGGTATATTTCAAAGCTCTCGGATCTCCCGATGGGACCTCAGGGCGCAGCCTCGAGAAGGGTGGTTCGAATCGTCGGCGAGGGTCATCGTCGTCGCCACCGACCGTCGCCGTCAAAGTCGCGCAGGTGCTCCACCCTCCCCACGAAGGGAAGCAAGGAGGAGGAAGACGAGGAGGAGAAGTTTTTCTCGACGCGTCCTGCTGAGCGACTTCTCAAAAGGACGAAATTTGTAGAGACTAGGCCGAAGACCCCAGGATGATCTAGGTCACCTAACCCGACACGTAGTGCTGAGTCCCTCGCGCTTCCTTCGGGCTTCCGATCCGTCTGTGTGAGTTGCGGCAAGTATTCGCAGCTAGACAGCATTCCGTAGAGCCAACCAGCGAAGGAATAGGAGAACATCCCGGCTAAAATCCCCCAACCCGTCCACGCCGGCGAACGACAACACTGACGCTGATGCGACGCTGACGCAAACGACAAAACCAACGACGAAACCGACGACCAAGAAGACGACAACGACGACGACGACGACGACGACGACGCCAACGACGACGACGGCGACGACGACGGCGGCGACAACGACCGATGGCCGATGACCGACGACAACGAAGATGACGCGGGTGAAATAAATGCGTCGGGCGGGCCAGGCGGGCAGAACATTGAAGCGGGCGGATCTGTCGAGCGAGCGGGACTTCGAATGAAATCTTCGCTCGTAAACGGGGCGAAGTTGGAGGAGAAGATACAAATTGAAAACCAAGGAGAACGACAACAACGACGACGACGCGACGACGACGACGGGCAGGACATTAAAGCCGGCGGGCGGACCCTACATGAACTGGAAATCTCGCGCGACGATCAAGCTAGGGGGAAGCAAATCAATAACGACATAGGAAAAGGCAAACGATGATTGCGCGTGGCTCATTAGAGCGGGCAGGCGGGCAGGACATTTAACGTTGACCTCGCTCGATGATGGGAGGGGGCTCATCGTCGTCAATGCCAGCGTCGTCGTCAGCGCTATCGTCCGCTTGTTGGCGCTGTCCTCGTCGGGTTCGTCGTCTTCGTCGGGGGGTGGTCCCCCCGACTTTCAAAGCGGGGCGGGGTGGGGAGGCTCGAACCCGCACCTCCCCCAGCCCACTTTTGGAGAGGATGGGGAAGAGTGTCCGGGGAATGGACCTCGGGAAGGACAGTTCTCCGAGCGCCTACAGAAGGCGTATCTTGCAAAAAAACAACTGCCCCAGCAGAGCACCCTAGTAATTAGCACGATGCTGTACGTCCCCTGAAGTTCCCAATCGCGCCACTGGACGCGTCCCCCGACACTAGGAAGAAAACTCTTGGGAGGTCTTCTTAAGAACTGCTAAGGGCAACCAAACCCGATGAGGCCACCAAGCTGGATCACCGCGGAATAATCCTAAAATCAAGCTGAAGTCAGCGGGATCAAGCAGGATCGAACGGGATGATGCCAGAATGGGCCCGTTTTCGGCCATGGATCTACCAGCGCCGAGGCTGAAATAAACTTACCAAGAATTGTAAAACAAGCTCACACGCCCTAGACACGTCCCCTTGCACGCACCTTGATATGGCCCCCGCACACGCCCCCAGGAGCCACAGGAGCCGCAAGACCCGTGCATTCCCCTGTCTGCCCGTGAGCCTCAGGCCCTGCAAAGCACATGGAGGATCCAACAAAACGCACGGGTTCCTCTCCGCCAGTGGCATCGGGCCCGAAAAAAATGCCAGGATACCCTGGACCCGCAGAACGCACGGGTTCAGCTCGCCAATATCCTCGGAGCGGGTTCCTTCATTCCGCAAGCCTGGGACGGAACGGCAGAACGCACGGGCCCCCTCCCCCTTATGTTCAAAACGCAAAACGCACAGGCGATCTTCGCCCGCGAGCGTGGGGCCCCGCGAAACACACGGGCACTGGTTCCATTCGCCCTTGAGTCCTGGACACCACGAAACACGCGGATTCTTGGCGTTCGTGAACAAATATATGGCATATGGCACCCGACGTTGATTGCGCATCGCTCGGGCGACAAAAAAGGCTCACCCGCAGCACTGCCGCACTGTCCGTTTGGAAAAAGATGGCAACTCGGCAAATGCTCAGCAAACGTTCGAAAAATATGTCGCGCCGCCCGCCGACTGACGGACAAGGGGCGATCGCCTATACATGCATAGCACCGCATAAAGACATTTGTTTTTTTGGGGGGAACAGCTGAACGCAGCACCTGAAGCTGGGATAGCGGGTCGACAAACCAGACCGTGGAGCGAAGGGCTTCCCTAATGAAACACAAGTGCCGCACGCCCTCCTCGCGCTTTCGCTATGGTGTACTCCGCTTGTTTCCGGCCGTCGGAGACCAACGAACCACCAGAGAAAGCGACAAGTACACAATGTCCCCAGACTCGGGCAGGAGGAGAAGGAAGAGGAAGTAAGGGCGAGAGCAAAGAGACAAGGGGGAATTGCGGGAATGCACAGAGCACTGCATCGCCCATTCGCCGCACATTGGCGCATCGAGAGTGCGCACAGTTGAGACTCAAATACGCTGCTAGGCTATTAGGGAACCAAGGAGGATAGACAGTAGTGGAGTGACAGGGAAGAAGCCAGGAGGAAAGCAGAAAGCGAGTGCAGCTTGGCGTGCGGGACAAGCTTCAAGCGCAGCGGGTGCGGCTTGGAGCACATTGAAGACTCACCCTACGATATCAAACTCTTGGACGCTCAATCTGCACAGCCGGCCCCGCGTACGAAGACTGACAAAAACACAGGGCTGCATAATGCGCTTGCTCCAACTCGAGACGCTTGAAGCTGCGAGGGGTGTTGAGGAAGAGGGTGGGTCACAGCAAGCAAACAAAAAAGAACGAGATGCGACATGTTTCGGCAGGCAGCACGTCTGCACGGGGCCATCACTTTGGAGGGGGTCGTGGCTACACGTCCGGACGGGAGCGGGTCGCGCTCCGCTAGAAAGAGGGTTGCTCTCGTGAATACATTCCAGCCTGAAAACAGCTCGGCTGCTCTCGTGAGCGCTTTCCAGACTAAAAAACAGCTCGCAACGAGGATGCTGAATACTCCTATTGGCTCAGACCTCCGAGTTACCGTTCCCCCACAATGCAAGCCAGAGAGCCAGCCGACCCCATCTACGTGAAAGGCGTTTCACCAGAAGAGAGGGGGGGAGAGAGAGAGAGGGGGGGGAAAGAGAGAGAGAGGGTGGAAGAGACTGAGATAGGGGGAGAGAGAGAGAGACATGAGAGAGGGAAAAGAGACATGACAGATGAAGGGAAGAGAGAGAGAGAGAGGGATGGAAGGGAGACAGAGAGAGATGGAAGAGAAATCGAGAGAGAGAAAGAGACATAGAAAAGAGAAAGAGAGAGAAGGATAGAAAGAGAGAGAGGGAGAGATAATCACTGTTTGCGACGATGTTCGTCAGGCTATGGCGGCGACCACCGTCCTTGCTGTGAGCGTCGCGTGGGCAAGTACGGTCCCTGGAATCGCTCAAGCACGAAATGGCATCGAGCAGAACACGGAAGCGCAGAGAGTGATATGGGAAGGGAAATGGAAAGCATGTGTGGGCGGGAGAGAGAGAGAGAGAGTGAGAGAGATTCCCTCCACGTCAGGATCGAAAAACCCGCGGGCGACTGCTGGGGCGCCTGGTCTGGCCCAGGTGCCACCCCCAGGGGAACAGCCTGTGGGGTCACATGCTGGGCAACGGGGCTAGGGGAGGTCAGTCGGAGATGGGGGAGGAATGATATGATGAGGAGGGTAAGGAAAGGGAGACGGTATGTGGGCGGGACAGTCTCTTCGGCCATCTTATGTGGCCCAGGGTTCACCACCAGGTGAACAGCCTGCGTGGTCTACTGGCTGGAGGTTCACACACCAGCTGAGGGATTAGGACGGTCATGCCCAGGGTTCAACACCAAGGGTACAGGTTGCCTGGCCTACTGGCTGGGTCACGTGACCAAACTGATCTGCCAAGAGGACTGGGCCCCATTGGGGAAGGGTGGAGAGGGGAGGGAGGCTCGGTAGGATACAGAAGGAGGGAGGATGAGGGAGTGCCCCAAATGAGGTTCCACCTATCAGCACACGGGATCATCTAGTATCTAGCACTTCACGGCGGTGGATCCTCCGAGGGGGTTGGAAGGGATCAGCGGCTGGCGTGGCAGTGGGCCGTGGGGCTCCACTTGCCGATCTAATGACACTACTGAGAGCCATCCCCATGGCTCCTGAAACAGCACTCTGGACTAGGGCGCTTTCCCCCGAACTGAAAACCGTAAAGGGCAATTCACACGCATTCAAAAACATCTGAATGCCAGAAGCTTCACGGGCGTGGGACCAGTTCAGCACCCAGTAGGACCTGAGAACTCCTAGGTAGCGGACCCCCCCAGCTGGGGAAACAATACAGAAAGAGGCCTGCCAAAACTCCGAGGGCAAACGAGAGGAAACACCTATGGACACTCGGCCCCTGCTGCAACTCTAACTCTGGGCTGGGGATCAGGCTTCTCAGGGAACCACGGATAGATTTTACTCAGCCCATCTTCCCAAGAACTATGTCCATCAGAAGCGAGGCCTTGTCCTTGTGGTTGCCTGGGAGCTGCTTGCGGGGCACGTGCGACAAGATGATCCTGTTGGCCACCCCCATCGCATGCTTGTCGCTGGCCAGGGACTTCGCCAGGAGGGCGCTGACCTCCTCACGGTTGCCCTTGGCTGGGAGCTTCACCTTCGCCCCAACCGCGGTCTGGATCCATCCCAGCTCCGAGCGCGAGAGGGGCTTGGACGCGTCTCCTGGCGATGACGATCGGGCACGAGGAGTAGGAGGGCAACTGTCTGGTGCCAGTGCCTTGCGCAGCTCCTCCGTATGGCTCGTGAATGACGATTTGAGCGCCGCTGCCACATACTCGCCCTGCTTGCGGAGCTCGAGCTCCCTCTCACGGCACGCCTTGCCATGGAGGAAGGAAGCGTACTCCTGATCCGTGGACTCCAGCTGCTTGCGAAGGGTCTCGACCTCCTGCTCGTCGTGGAGGCTGGCTGAGCTCCTGGCCCGGTGGGACCTATCCCGGCTGCTGCTGCGACGGTCTCGGTCACGGTCCCGATCACGATCACGGTCTGAGCTGGAATCCCTGCGGTCACGCCGATCACGTCGATCACGGTCTCCATCACGGCGGTCATCTCGATGGTCCCGCCGATCTCGGCGGTCTCGGTCACGGTCTCGGTCGCGATCCTGGTCATAGCCCTTGTCGTAGCCCCGACTGCCTGTCCACTGCTCTGTGCCCCGGCGGGCGTTGTAGCCTTTGCCCATGGCGCAAACTGGGGGTGACGAAGAGAGCCGAAGGTGTTGTCGCCAAACTCGCAGGACTGCTCGAACTCTTTGAGCAGAAACACTCCACGGAGCGGAATGGGCAGCGGCAATGATGACGTTTATGGGATACCCCAGTAGGAACAATTCGAGGGCCAACTCAAGGACCCACCCCGTCGTAATACCGATGTTCAACTGGAGATATTGGGCCCTCGCGAACCTGCTAGTGAACAGAGAGACGACCATCGCAAACTTTCGGGGGGGCGACCTGGCCACTCAATAATGTTAGCACGCGGACGGGCATCAACATCCCCTGACAGCCAGGGCCGATTGAGGTTCTTGGGTATAATGACGATCTCGGGACCTACAGCACGAATCTCCAGACCCACCCAGATGCACGGCTCCGCGTTGCCCTCGATAGTTGATGCAGGGCTGAGGCGTATGGGATATACCTCTTCACGAAGGTATGCATAGGTACATGTGCGGCAGTAGTGCGTGCTCATACCGATTATGTCATCCACGTAGCGACGTTGGCCCACTGGGGCCGTCGCGTGCCCAGGAAGCCGCTGAAAGCCTGCATTGCCCAGCCGAGCCTCATCGCGTTGAGCCTGGACCTCGAACCAGCACATGAGCACGGAAAGGGCCACTCCTGAGAGCACCCCCCCTATGGGGAGCCCCCTCATCTCATACATGATGCCACCCAAGGAGACTAGGGATATCCAAGAGAACGAGACCAAAGCCTTGTGGATGTCAAATACAGAGATCTGAAACCAACCAGGTGGGGTTGAGCCCAACCAGGGCCTTGTCCGAGGCATGCGAGACTGCTTGACCAAGGTTGCGTCAGCTCCAAGCCGACGCACCGCCTCTGACGCAATATCTGCCCACGCCCTCGATACTGCGGATGCACTGCACTGCTCAAACGCCTGGTCCGATTCGGCAACCACGACACTTATATCCGAGATGGGTTGCGAGCAGCGGGCACGCTGTGGGGCCAGTGCCGAAGGGAGGGGGCAACGAAAGTGGCGGATCTCCCTTGCTGCATCATTGGTGTTGAAAACCTCTGAGCTGAGCCCACTCCGCGACAGGATCTCGAACTGCTCGACCAATTACCTGGAAACCACATGATCCTGGCGCCTGGGAACAGTTGATGACCCGACGAAGGCAACTGTGGAAGGGCTTGCGGCACGTGCGCTCTCCCTGGGGAAGGAAACATTTTCCTTTGACCGTAAGGAAAACGCAAGGCGGCTTCGTGTCGGCCGACAGCGGAGGCAAGAAGCGCGGCGCGCACAGCCAAGGCGGGAGTGCAGCCACAGCGCGGCCCCACATCCAGACTGCGGCGCCCCCCGGGGAAATGTCCAACCTCAGCGTCCAGTCGGGGCCGGCCATCGCCAGCTGGTGGAGGTAGCGCATCATGTCACAGCCGTCACACGCCCACACCTTGTCGCACTCCTCGTCGTCCGCGATGATTACGCACTCGTTGGCTTCCTCTAGGCTGCTTGCCATGCTAGACCCCACTTCACGCCACTCTGGGGGCGCCTCTGGTGGCTTGATCCAGCGATTGGACAGCCACGCATCGAGATGTCGAAAGCCTCGTCGAAGGACACGGTAGGGGATGCGTGCTTTGGCTGCCCACGAGCTGAGCGCTGCCCGCGCTTCCCGCAGTGCACGTCGGGGGCGCGGCCACACGGGGGGGCGCCAGGGCCCTGCCAGGCGCCGAAGGCGCCATGGAGCTGACGGTGGCCCGTCTGGTGGATGGGGCAACGCCTGCGACGAGAAATCAGCGCAGAAACGGCTGTCCTTCCAGGATGGTACCTTCGCATAGGTGGCCCTCGGTGGTCGGATGTAGACCTCCCGTGTCGGGGCAAACTTCATTGACCTTGCCATGGCCGCAATCGCCGAGCCGATCCAGCGGCGGCACTCAGCCTCCTGAAAGGCGGCAGGAAGCTGAATGGGTGGGCATCTAGCTCGGGGAAGTCGGAGACGCCGAAGGTGTAGGTCAATGTGACGCAGGGCCATACGCTGACGGTGGAATGGCCTTAGAAAGAACTGCGCCTGCGATGCCGCGAGGTAGAGGTGGGCTCCATCCTCTAAGCGGCTCCAGAACGTAAGCACAGGTAGATCTCGCCACTTGGCCGCGAGGCAGGCGAGGAGGAGTCCCAGCCTCCTGCCTTCGAATATCCACAGTGGTCCAATCTCCCCTGTGAGGTGGTAGCGTTCCTCGATCTGGAGTCGGTACAGGATTCCAAATGGGGCTGCCTCTGCTAGTGCCCCTGGGTATCGGGCCTCAAGATCAGGCCCTTCAGCTCGGGGTGCATGCCCCGCCGCTGCCGACAGGACAGTGGCCGTCCACGCGGGGGCGCTCGTGGTTGCCCGCGGCCCGCGCCTCCACGACGGGGGACGGCGGCGGCGAGCACTGCGGGTCTTCACCATCGCGTGGAGCTGCCCAGCCCCCCGCCGCCTGCTGACCGCTTCGGACCCCATGGCGTCGCACTGGTTGCACTTCGGGCTGAAACGTCTGATGGCCAGTGCTTCAAAATGGAAGCTCGCCTTCTCGGTCCGTAGTAGCAACACGGGCAAGAAGAACCGTGACCCCAGGCTCCGCCTGAGGACGCGGTAGCGGGGACGTCGTCCAGGGCCAATTCGCGGATGGAGTACAGCCCGTACATGTTCAGCTACTCGGCCCAGCAGCCCTGGGAAGGCCGTGTCACGTAGTGCTGCCTTGCCAATGTACAAACCACCATGACTGCCCAGCACGTATACCACCGCACGGCTCCCCCCACGTGGTGGTCCTAGAAAACACTCAAAGATCGACAAGAGAAGTGGATGATCCCAGTCATTGATGGCGGAGCGCAGGTCGGGAGCGATCACGATCAGAATCTGTCTCGCCCATGACGGTACCCTACGCTGCGCCTGAGCCCGTCGAAGTCGGAGAATAGCTAGCATAACAAGCGCAAAACTGACGACGCTCCATAGATATACTCCTCGCAGGGGGCGGAAGGATGGCCTCGTCGGGCCCGCAACGTACTCCAGTAAGAAAGATAGCAAGCTCACAAGCCTGGGTATTGCGTGTCTGTGAAACCTCTGAGCCCAAATCCACAGGCGTAGTTGGCTGGATGCCGATTCCTGGGGAACTCTGGACGAACGAAAAAGAGTCTCTTGAATTAGTGCATACACGGCGTTGTGGTCCTTGATGTGGAGGATGGGGAGCGGCCAGCGGACCATGAGGCGCTCTTTAGCCTCCTCAGAGGCTACAAGGCCTCTGACCAGCGATCGTTGGAGGATGTCGACCATCTCTGGCCTGTGTCGACCTGGCCGTAGCCCCTCCTCATCACTCTCAGATCCTCCTCCTCGCTGATGCCCTCGTCCGAGTCCATCATCACCACCTCTATGGTCTCCTCGGGAGGTCCCCTCTAAGTTCGCACCGCCCACCTCTGGTTGTTCCTGATCGTCTCCTCGAGCTCCGCTCGCCGGTGCGTCATCTGCATGAGGCCCTGGAGGATGTCGCAGTACTAGATCAATACTTGGCGATTCTGGCCGATCCATCGGGCTCGTAGTCCCAGGTACTGCCTGAGGTGTGCTGCTGTGTCGTCGTGCCCGAATACGCTCTGGAGCGTAGCCATGCCAACCTGGTTGGAGAGGAAGAAGACGAAGGTGGGGAATGTGTCCCACCGCTGCCGACTATGTGCACGATGAAGAAGACAAACAAAAATGAATATGAAAGCAATCCGTCGATTGGGACGGCACTCGAACTTTGGATACCCGTCGCCGTATATGGCCGTGCTAACCCAGATGATGAGAGAGCCACTGTCTGCGATGATGTTCGTCAGGCTATGGCGGCGACCACCGTCCTTGCTGTGAGCGTCGCGTGGGCAAGTACGGTCCCTGGAATCGCTCAAGCACGAAATGGCAGCGAGCAGAACACGGAAGCACAGAGAGTGATATGGGAAGGGAAATGGAAAGCATGTGTGGGCGGGAGAGAGAGAGAGAGGGAGAGAGAGGGAGAGGGGGAGAGAGAAAGAGAGTGAGGGAGGAAGAGGAAGGGAAGGAGGGAGAGAAAGACAGAGCGAGAGAGAGAGATGCCCGCTGACCCCCGTCTGACACGGGTGACAAGACATGAGAGATGTTTGGCTCCGTGTTCCCCCTCCCGGCAGTCCCAACTCCCATTTGAGAGGGTCCCCACGAGCCCCCCGATGCACCTCCAAACCCCGAATGAAGCCTCCAAAGCGCCCCACTGTGCCCCCATGGTCCCCGAAATTGCTCAAGATGGCCCAAGTGGGCTACCGAGAAGGCCCAGAGTGGTCAATGTTTACGCTGGGATGGCTACAGGATGCCTAAGATGGTGCCAACATAACCCCAAGAGGCCACCACAGGCTCTAAGATTGCTCCGCAGACGGCGAAAGAGAGCCAATAATCGCAAAGAACCGCTTGGGGGTATGGGATGTCTGTGTTCTTGTACTCCGTAGTTTCGGGCTCCAGACGGCTCCAAGAAGGTCCAAGAGGCCCCCAGGAAACCCCGAGATGGGCCAAGGCGCCCCGACCACAAAGGGAGTTGGTAAGCAAATATGCCGGTGGACCGTTCTCGCTCGGTCTTCCCAGATGAAACGATGACGCTGAAGATCGGAAAGGGTGGGGAGGCGGGAGGAGCGAAGGGCGAGGAGAGAGGCAGGAGAAAACCAGACGGCGACTGATGTCGGGCCAAGGCGCCCCCATGTTGGCCTCAGGGGCTAGGGGCTCCAGGACCACAAGACCTCCCCGAAGAACGCTCAACTGGCCCCGAGAGGCCCAGCACAGCCCAAAATGTCCAACAAGGCCACAGACCCCAAGACGGGTCCGCATGTTCGGGAACAGACGCGCCGAGGCCCCAACTCCCGAACACTCACTGGCTTGCACATGTGCACGTTACTTCTTCCCCACGTAAGCAAACCATGCCTCCCGCTCTGGTGATGTTCCCTCTCCTCTCACTCCTCCAACGCCCCTCATCTTTCTTTCTGCATCTGCATATGCAGCTGCTGCTGCTGCTGTTCCACCCCTATCCCGTTCTGCTGTGAATAACTACTCCCTGTCGCGCCCCCAGACGTGTCGGTGGGGCGAGCCGCGCGTTTCGCCGGAGACCCCCTCGCCATGTGTAATCCTGAAGCTTGTAAATTGCAACAACTTCAAGAATGGAGAGCGGCCGGTTTTCAAGCTGTGGCTCTCACCTTACCGTCGCGCACATTCGTTTTAAAGTTTGTAACATATTGAAGGATTCGCCCTAGCGCTGCATACATTCGTGTAGAATGTCTGCTACAGATTCAGGGATGGAGGGCACGCCGTTTTCAAAATGTGGTTCCCACCTTAGCACAGCGCACATTCGATTTCAAAGTGCGCATCAGCTTTACAGATGAAGAGCGACCCTTTCTCAGAAAGTGTGTCTCGCTCCAGCGCCGCGCACACTCGTCTTAAAATATTGCAGCCGGGTCACGGATTCGTATGGCTGCCCAGGAGTGGTGTTCTCGCAAGGCTGAGCATTGTCAGGACGCAACAATCACTTTGATTCGCGGCGTTGAATATTCAAGTTCTGGCACGATTCGCCAATGTCAGGACGCAAGAGTCACGCTGATTCACGGCGTTGAAGTCTCAGGACTGATGATTTGGCTCGATTGAGGATTCTCAGACGGCTGTCTTCGGATGGGAGACTTCCCGCAATGAAAATCCTGCCAGCCGTTAAGGGCGCGAGTGGTTTAGAGCGCTTCCTTGTCCAACCCAGTTTCTCCCCTTCGGGGAGGGGCTTACCCCTCCCCCTACCCCCTACCCTTTGACCCAGAGGGGGCGCCCCGCGAGTCGTTGGAGCGTCCAAGATGGTATTGCCGAGAAGGCTACAATCATTGATTGTACTAAGGTGTTCGGAAATGGCCCTTATTAAGCACCCCCGTTTTTTACCAATCACCTCCAAGATGGACCCAAGATGGCTCCCGAAGCTCCCAAGAGTGCCAAAAGGGTGCCCCAAGAGGCGCCCAATGATGCCCCAAAAGGCCTCCAATAGGCCCCCACCTGACCTCCACCCAAGACGCGTCAAGAGGCCCCCGGGACCGACAAGAGGCCCCCAAGATGCCCCGATAGGCCTACAAGAAGCTCTCAGGAGATATCCGAAGAGACTCCGAGAAGCATCCAAGAGGCTTCTGGCCTTACTATTTGCCCTCCTCCTCTTCCTTATCCTCTTCTACCTCATCCTCCTTCTCTCTCCTCCCCTCTCGCTCCTCTCTCCTCCTCCTCCCCCGTCTCTGTTTCTTCCTCCTACTCCTCCTTTTCCACCTCATCCTCCTCCTCCTGCTCCTCCTCGTCCTCCTCCTCCTCCTCCCGCTGATCCTCCTCCTCCTCCTCCTCCTCCTCCTCCTCCTCTTCCTCCTCCTCCTGCTCCTCCTCCACCCTCCCCCCCTGGGTCGTGACGGCTGCCCCGCTTGTATTACATTGCGTGCTTCCTGGATGGGCTGGTGGGTTTTTTACGTTCGCGAGCGGAAGGGCCGCGCGCCGTCCAAAGCTACAGCTAACAAGCAGGAGCCTAAATTGCACACGATAGAGAGGAACAGAGAGACAACAAGAGAACAGCGGGAGGTGAGACTAGCAAGGGCGGGCCGCGCGGCGCTCATGGAGGGGGTGTCATCGGCAGCTAGCAACCGCCGGAGGAGCACGCCAAAGTGGCGAAACTGGTGGGGTTACGCGAAACGTCTAGAATGCATTCTTGTAGGGACAGCTGAAAAAGAAGTGTGGAAGGAGAGTGGATTGCAACATCGTAGAAGCGCAGTGGGTTTACGCTAACCATCCTCCTCCTCCTCGTCATTGTTATCATCATCCTCATCCTCATCATCATCATCCTCATCAGCATCAGCATCATCAGCATCAGCATCAGCATCATCATTATCATCATCAGCATCATCAGCATCATCATCAGCATCAACCTCACCCATTGAATCAGCCAACTCAAGGTATCAGGTATCAGCCTCATGATCACCATCACCATCACCAGCATCATCACCATCACGATCACCATAATCAGCCTCACCATCGTCATCCTTATCAGCACCAGCATCATCATCGTTTTCCTCGTCGTCGCCCTCGTCGTGGTCGTAATCGTCGTCTGCATCAGCAGCATCATCATCATCATCATCAGCAGCAGCATCATCATCAGCATCATCGAAATCATCAGCAGCAGCATCAGCATCATCATCATCATCAGCAGCAGCAGCGTCATCATCATCATCATCATCATCATCATCATCATCATCAGCAGCAGCAGCAGCAGCAGCAGCAGCAGTATCCTCTCCCTCCTTGTCTCCCTCCGCCATGCCTTGCACGGGGCACCCGACATTGTCAGGAATACCCTCCCCTGGGGGCCGGCAGAATAGCGCAAGCCTCAATGATCAGCGATGGGAGGTGTAGCTGGACACGTGCTCCTCAGCAACGACGTTCAGTCTTCGATGGTCCTCCTCTCCGCGTGCCAGGTGCCAGCACGCGCCCTTTCAGGACTGAAAGGACCGCCCGCCGAAGACCGCACTTCCACGGCAACGTCGGTCAGCTTGACCTCGGGCTCTGGCAGAAGTGCCCCTGACCGCAGGGAGGCCCTGGGGCTGCGAAGGAGGCCCTGGCCCACCGAAGACCGCACTTCCACGGCAACGTCGGTCAGCTTGACCTCGGGCTCTGGCAGAAGTGCCCCTGACCGCAGGGAGGCCCTGGGGCTGCGAAGGAGGCCCTGGCCCACCGAAGACCGCACTTCCACGGCAACGTCGGTCAGCTTGACCTCGGGCTCTGGCAGAAGTGCCCCTGACCGCAGGGAGGCCCTGGGGCTGCGAAGGAGGCCCTGACGGGCCCAGACGGCCCCCGACGGGTGCCGGAAGAGAGGCCCAAGGCTCCAAGAGCGGGCGGAGGCCTGGGTGCACCCTGGGCCAGGGACGCCCCTGCCAAAAACCGGTGATGCTCGGCGGGTCGCGTGCCGATGACGGACCGGACGGAGAAGTCGAGGACGACCTCGGCACGATGCCCTCGTCGAATTGAGAAGAGCTCGCTCCAATCGCGGCGGCTTCCTGTGTGTCGCTCACGTCGTCGGTCATTGCCTCCCAACCCCAGCTTAAGAGCTGCTGAACATCCTCTGCGCTGCAGAAGATCATTGTGCAACGTGGCGTCTGAGAGCCCCGCACGAAGAGGCATCGCCCTGCGGTGAAAAAACAGAGACCAAGGACAGCATTTGTCCAAGGGTCCCCCAGCCCCATGGCGTCACAGGCAAAAACGATAGAGCCGAGAAGGAACATTGCAGATCCCCACCATATTGTAGACTGAATACGAAGAGGCGAATATGCATACCGGCAGCCACCCCGTGAAGGTGCTGATGATAACATCAGCAGCAGGGAACCGATTAGAAACAGCCACGATCCTGCGTGGTATAGGGATGCCTGCCCATCCGTGCCCGAATAGATTGCAGCAAAGACAAAATATCCCATTGTGTAAAGCGCTACTCCCAATGTGTAAAGCCAATTTTTTGGTGTACTTGAGATGCTGTACGCAACAAGAAATGAGGTGTAGCAAACCGCGTATACAACATTGAATACTTGGTTAATGCTTTCATTGAAACGTGCATTCCATTCACGCACGATCGACACGAGCTGGATGGAGGTTTGAGAAAGAAACAGCCAAGCGCACACCATGCCGTAGCGGTCCATCCAGACAGACTCAACCAGCCGTGTTGGTAAATCACGATGGTCAGTCTTGATCCACTGCCAGATATGAGGCTCGCCACATGCGTCGAACTTCCACCAACCTACGAACTCGTGCCCACGTTTGCGTGACGACGAGCGCATCTCGAACGAGCCTGTCGTTCCACTACCTGCCTCCAGGATATTGCTGTCGATGTGCCTCCACACTCCACAAACGGAGACACGCCCATGGACCACATCCACCCGACCATCCAGCACCGCCAGACCGGGCAACGGGTCCGACACGCTCGCTGCACGCCGCCGCTGCGACAGTGCCATCATCGCGTCCTCCGGGTGATACGTGGCCTTGAACCGCCTGCCTCGGCGCTCAGCCTTCAGCGTCGACATGCTGCAGTCCTCGGTGAACTCGACCTGCCTCCGGAGATAATTTTCGATCAGGTCGGAGTCCGACTTGTCGGACAGGCCACTCCTGTTCCGGATGCAGTCGCTCCGGACCAGAGCCATCACACCCGAGGCAGCCTCGCCGCAACGGGCGGTGCGAGCCCACAGCGCTCGGGCCAAAGCCAAAGAGGTGAAGGGCGGGAGAAACGAACTGGAATGCCTCACCCCTGCGAGCGCAATCGACGAATGCGACACAGCTGCACTGGCACTGTGAACTTCACAGCCAGTGTCCACTACTGTGGTAGTGGAGGTCTGAGAAAGAGGAGGGGGATTAGACACGTCTTACGCCGCCCTCTCCAAAAAAACAGAGCTGGTCACCCACTCATGAAATTGGAAGGCGCCGACAACCCATCAGGAATTGCAGACTGAAACAATACACCCTCAGCGAAGGACGAGTAAATCCCACCAGCCTTCTGGGCGTCGGTGGTTTAGGGCGTTTCCTCTTCCACCCCTCCTTCTTCCCCTTCGGGGAGGGGTTTACCCCTCCCCCTACCCCCTCCCCATGGACCTGGAGGGGGGGGGCCGCGAAGTGTCAGAGCGTCCAAAACGGCCTCGGCGAGGAAGCCAAAATCATTAATTGTATTAGGGTTCTGGCCCCATTTTGGCCTCCTGGGGGGGGGCAAGGCTAATTGATGCTCCGCACTTCTTTGATAGATCTCCTTCAAGATGGCCCCAAGAAGCGCATCGTCCTCCCCCCCCTCGTCCTCCCCCCCCTCATCCTCCTCCTCATCCGCATCCTCACCTTCCTTTCCTTTCCGCCTCCTCCTCCCCCTCCTCCACCCCCTCCTCCTCCTCGCACTCCTCTCAATCCCGCCCAAAAGAATCGCCCCACCGATCTTTCCCACTGCGCGTTACGACCTCGGCGGATCCAATCATGGCGACAAGGGGCCCACCCGACGGCCCCACATATACAAAGATCACCAGAAAAAGTTCAAGGAGTAACTCCTCTTCCTCCTCCTCCTCCTCCTCCTCCTCCTCCTCCTCCTCCTCCTCCCGCCTCCTCCTCCTCCCCCTCCTCCTCTTCCTGCTCCTCCCTCCCTCCTCCACCTCAATCCCTTCTCCTGATAAAAACACTCCTCCCTGTCGCACCCCCAAACGCATGGGTGGGACGGGCCAGGCGGCACGCCGGAGATTGCCTCACCATGTATGTTCCTGAAGCCTGAAAATTGAATCAGCTTCGAGGACGGGGGTCAGGTCCTTTTCAAAATGTGGCTCTCGCCTCAGCGCCGCACACATTCGCCTCTTTCGTCTGCAAAAGCTTCAAGGATGGAGAGCGGGCTCTTTTCAAAACGTGGCTCTCGCCTTAGCGCCGCGAGAGTTCGCTATACAGTCCTAGAACAACGATAAGAATTCGCAGAGCGGAGGTACCAGAAATGGAGTTCTGGCACCATGTAGGATTGCCAGGACGCACCAGCCACGTAAATTCGCAGTGCTGCAAATCCAGGAAGGGCATTCTGGCATGATTGAGGATCGTCTGGACGCAACAGCCACGATGCCTCGCGGCGTCGAAGCAAGTCCCAGGAGCGGTGGTTCTGCACGATGGAATATTCTTCAACAATTGTCTTTCTATGGGGCACTTCCCGCATTCAAAACGAACTCTTCCAGGGACCCGTGAAGAAGGAACTTGGAGGGAGGGTTTGGTGCAACATCGTTGATGCGTCTTGGGTTTGCAGTGGTCATCCTCCTCACCCTCCTCCTCCTCCTCCTCCTCCTCCTCCTCCTCCTCCTCCTCCTCCTTCCCCCACCTCGTTTCTCCGAAGCGTGATACGTACCGTCTGCTCATTGCTGTCTGCCTGTCCCAGCATCGACAAACCCCGCCCTGCCGGACAAAAACAAGAACGGCGAGCTGCTACCTGTGCATCGTTCCTGGCTCCAGACTCACAGCAGGAACCTGCCAGTGACACAGGCTCACGCTAGCATGGATCGTCCCGAGACTTGATGTTCTCGGAGGTCTTCGTCTCGGGACGCTTTCCAACCTCGGCACGTTTTCCAGCAACTGCGCCTCGCCGAGATCTTTCCGGAGGTGTCCCAATCGTCCCGAGCGACCACCGGAAAGCCGAGTTTCACCACCACCACTGAGCCGAGCGTCTGGAGGGACGCGTGGGCAGAAGAGTGCGCGATTGGCAACTCGTCAAAAGAAGACGGCAGAAAAGGCACTGCAGAGCGACTACGTGCACGCACAGACTCGACTGTGAAGCAAAATCTCACCTGTCCTCTGGCCGTAGGTGGTCTAGGGCGTTTCCTCTTCCAACCCCCTTCTTCCCCAACGGGAAAGGTTTATCACTGTTCCTTATAAATGTACACCCCCTCGCCCACACGGCCGGCGGCCAACACGGAACTATGCCGACTCCATGCGGACCCGCCCCCCACCATCCCCGTCAAAAACAATACAAACCGCACTCTGTCTCCACATTTGGAGCATGCGCGGCCAACCCGATGCAGCTCACCCCTACCATCCCTGTTAAAAAAATAATGCAAAGTACACTTTGGGGCAAAATCTTGAGTCATGTTCGTGAGGCCCGCGAGCGCTTTGTATTGTTTTTGACAGGGACGGCGGGGGTGACAGCATATTCCCTGCTGCGCGCAGGGCTACCATCCCTTAAACAACAGACAATACAACATGCACCTCGCGGCTAAATCTGGATCATGCGTGGCCATCCCGCGAGCACTGTCAAGTGGTTTTTGACAGGGACAGCAGGGGTGGTGGCGCGTGGCCTGCTGTGCGCAGGCCCACCAGGGGGCTGACATGTTTCCCGATGTGTGCTGTCACGTGCGCAGGCACACCTGACGCACTCTGCACGTGCCCCGAACGTGGCGCACCTGCCGCGGCTGGAATGTGCAGCACACCTGGCGCACTCGGAACACGTGGCGCATTTGGCGCACCAGGCGTGCCTGGTACGCTCGGGCCCCAGGGGTGCCTGGCGCGCGTGGCCCCCCTGGCACACGTGGCGCACGTCGCTCAAGCGTCACGCACCTGGGGTCGGCTGTGGTTCCCAGTAGCTGCCCATCCAAAGACGACCGCTGAACATGCTCAGGCTCGGGTGTCACTTATGTGTTGGGAGGACGGGTGGGAGTGAGCTAGACAGCTTGCGGGCGGGTGGGTTGCGTGACCCCTCCCCCTACCCCCTCCCATGGACCTGGACGGGGGGGGCGGCGAGTCGCTGGAGCGTGAAAGATGGCCCAAGACGGCTCCAAGAGGGCCCTTGAGAGTCTAAGGTGAACTCCAAGTTGGCTCAAGATAGCGCACGATGCCTCAAGATGGCTCCCAAGATGTTCCAAGAGGGCCCAATAACGTTCCAAGACGGCTCCAAGAGGCCTCCGAGACCTCCAAGGAGGCCCCGAAGAAGCCAAAACCCTTCGAAAATCTGAGGAAAATCAATGATGTCTGTGTGTGTTGTGTATTGTGTGTTGTGTGTTGTGTGGTGTGTGTTGTGTGTTGTGTGTTGTGTGTTGTGTGTTGTGTGTTGTGTGTTGTGTGTTGTGTGTTGTGTGTTGTGTGTTGTGTGTTGTGTGTTGTGTGTTGTGTGTTGTGTGTTGTGTGTTGTGTGTTGTGTGTTGTGTGTTGTGTGGTGTGTGGTGTGTGTTGTGTGTTGTGTGTTGTGTGTTGTGTGTTGTGTGTTGTGTGTTGTTGTTGTGTGTTGTGTGTTGTGTGTTGTGTGTTGTGTGTTGTGTGTTGTGTGTTGTGTGTTGTGTGTTGTGTGTTGTGTGTTGTGTGTTGTGTGTTGTGTGTTGTGTGTTGTGTGTGTGTGTGTTGTGTGTTGTGTGTTGTGTGTTGTGTGTTGTGTGTTGTGTGTTGTGTGTTGTGTGTTGTGTGTTGTGTGTTGTGTGTTGTGTGTGTGTGTTGTGTGTTGTGTGTTGTGTGTTGTGTGTTGTGTGTGTGTGTTGTGTGTCGTGTGTTGTGTGTGTGTGTTGTGTGTTGTGTGTTGTGTGTTGTGTGTTGTGTGTTGTGTGTTGTGTGTTGTGTGTTGTGTGTTGTGTGTTGTGTGTTGTGTGTTTGTGTGTTTGTGTGTTTGTGTGTTTGTGTGTGTGTCTGTGTGTGTGTTTGTGTGTTTGTGTGTTTGTGTGTTTGTGTGTTTGTGTGTTGCTGTGTTGCTGTGTTGCTGCGTTGGTGTGTTGGTGTGTTGGTGTGTTGGTGTGTTGGTGTGTTTGTGTGTTTGTGTGTTTGTGTGTTTGTGTGTTGTTGTGTGTGTTGTGTGTGGTGTGTGTGTGTGTGTTTTCGCCTGGTCGTTTTCGATGGCCATCCGAGGCCTCAAGATGGCTCCAAGATGACCCAAGAGAGCCTCAGGAGAAGCCCAAAACGGTCACAAGAGCGCCCAACAGCGCCCCAAGAGCGTTCCAAAAGGGGTCCAGGAAGCGATGTTTGGTGTTCCTGCGGGGGGGGGCTAATTGGAGCCCCCCTCTTGTTTCATCGACGTCCCGAAAAATGGCCCCAACAACGCCCGTGGAGGTCCCAAGAGCGGCCCAGGAGGGCCCCAGGAGGAACCCAGGCAGCCACAAGAGGCGCCCAAGAGGCCTCCAATAGGCGTCAAAAGACCCCATACGAGCCCTCAAGAGGATCCCCGAGGTATCCAACTCCCCCTCCGTTTCCTCACGCTCCTCATTATCGTCATCCTCGTCCTCCCCCTGTTCCACCTCATCCTGTTTTTCCTCCTCTTCGTCCTCTTCCTCCTCCTCCTCCGGCGACGACGACGACGACGACGATTCCTCATCCATCCTCCCCCTTTTGGGGTATATGACGGTTTCCCCCGCTTGTTGTTATTCTGCATGCTCCCCCACTTCCCTGATCACATCAACTCCCCTGGGCATCGTTTCTGGATGGGCTGGCGGGGATATTTTTCGATCTGCGGCCCAAAGGACGGCTCCAGAGGGCGGGTCAATCAGGTCGTCTGGGGCACAGAGCGAGATAATTTGCGAATCCAGCCGTCACTGTCGACAGCCGACCGCACCTGCAAGCAAGCTCGCAGTTGCACATGCACAGAACAAGGTGAACTAAATTCAAGGAGGCGCATCTTAGCGTCGACTGGGGGGAACGGGCGCGGGAAGAGCGCGAGGAGTCGCCGAAACGGCGCCAGCTCAACACGACGAGGGGGGAGGAGGAGAGAACGAGGGCGCAGGAAGAGA